AGTCCATCTCCCTGCCCAAGACAGGACCAATCCCGATTAAATCAACCCAGCCAAGCAAAGACTTAAACACCTTTAGGGATGGAGACTCCACTAGTTCCCTAGGTTAATGCTCTCCAAATTTATTTGGCCACGGAGCCCCTAGAGTTGCCTTAAAAAAAAAAAAAAAAAAAAGGCCCCTGCCACGTTTTGTTGAGCTAATTAAAAAAAAGCCCTTACCATGGCTGTCTCTTTAACGGGGAGGGGGGGGAGGAGAGAAGGAGTGCTGGCTCTTCGCAGAACCCTTGTTTTTGCTTCACCAACTGGAAAACACTGCCCTAGGTAACCCATTCCAATGCTTCACCACTCTCCTAGTGAAATCTCCTAGTTTTTCCTGATATCCAACCTGGATCCCTCCCACCACAACTTCAGACCATTGTTCCTTGTTCTGCCATCCATCACTAGTGTGGACAGCCTTTCTTCAGCCTCTTTGGAACCTCCCTTCAGGAAGTTGAAGGCTGCTCTCAAATCTCCCCTCACTCTTCTCTTCTGCTGACTAAATAGACCCAAATCCCTCAGCCTCTCCTTGTAGGTCATATTCTCCAGACCCCTAATCATTTTGGTTGCCCTCCGCTGAACCCTCTCCAATGCATCCACCTCCTTCCTGTAATTGGGGGCCCAGAACTGGGCACAATACTCCAGATGTGGCCTCACTAGAGCCTATTAAAGAGGAATAATCACATCTCTGGATCAACTGGCAATGCTCCTCTTAATTCAACCCAATATGCCATTAGCCTTCTTGACTACAAGGGCATAGACTACTGTGGACTCATGTCCAGCTTCTCATCCACTGTAATCCCCAGGTCCTTCTCTACAGGACTGCTACTTAGCCAGTTGGTCTCCAGCCTGTAACAATGCTTGGGATTCTTCCGTCCCAAGTGCAGGACTCTGCACTTGTCCTTGTTGAACCTCATCAGATTTCTTGTGGCCCAATCCTCCAATTTGTCTAAGTCACTCTGGACCCTATCGCTGCCCCGCAGCATATCTACCTCTCTCCCTAGCATAGTTTCATCCGCAAAATTGCTGAGGGTGCAACCCATCCCCTCATCCAGGTCATTAAAGATGTTGAACAAAACCGGTCCCAGAACCAAAACTTGGGGCACTCCGCTAGAAACCGACCACCATCTTGACATTGAGCCATTGATCACTACCCGATGGGCCCAACTTTTCAGCCAGCTGTCTATCCATCTTACAGTCCATTTATCCAATCCACATTCCCTTAACTTGCTGGCAAGAATAGTGTGTGAGACTGTATCAAAAGCCTTGCTAAAGTCAAGGTATATAACATCCACTGGCTTCCCCATATCCACAGAGCCAGTTACCTCATCAACAGAAGCTCATCAGATTGGTCAGGCACGACTTGCCCTTAATGAATCCATGCTGACTATTCTTGATCACCTTCCCCTCTTCCAAGTGCTTCAAAATGGATTCCCTGTGGATCCCCGCCATGATTTTTCCGGGGACTGAGGTAAGACTGACTGGCCTATAGTTCCCTGGATCGTCCTTCCCTTTCTTAAAGATGGGCACTCCATTTGCCTTTTTCCAATCATCCAGGATCTCTCCTGATCTCCACAACGTTTCAAATTCATGAAGGGTCGGTCCATCAATGGTTATTAGCCACTATGGGTGCAGATGGTGTCCCTAGCCCAGTGGTTACCAACCAGTAGACTGGGATCAACCAGTAGATCTTGGCGCCTCTGACAGCTGATCCTGATTGGTTGGCCAGAAAGCTGTCAAGCGTTGGGACTTCAGTTGCCCCTCCACCTATTGTCATGCTGCTCCTGCTCTCTGCTTTGGAGCTGCCACCTTAGGAGCCGCCTCCTTGCTGTGCTGAGTTTGGGAGGAAGAAAGAGGGGCGCTGATGTCAGGGTATCCCTCCTCCTCCAACCTCTGTTCCTTATCTCCACACAGGGAGAAGGGGATGGAGGAAGCTTGGCAATGCAACTCTGGCACTCACACACTGTATATCAGTCGCTCTCACAAACACACACTGTCCTTTACTCATCTCCTTCATACACACACACGGGGGGAGAAGTTGTTAGTTCTTTTATTGCTTACAAAGTGAGTTCTTTTTAGTTTGGCTGGTCCATGCATTTCAGAATTTTCATTTCTCTCTTACGCTGACATTTAATTCTTTGGGCAGCGAGTTTTAAAATGCCTAACAACCTGCAGTGGCTGAGGTCATTCACCCTGTGGTAATTGCTGCTCCTGGAAGTAGCTGGCATGTCCCTGCAGCTCCTGAGAAAAGCACAGCATGGGGTCTCCACATGCTATCTGTGCCCAGAGCTACTGCTCCCACAGCTCCCATTGATCAGTAATAGGGAGCCGTGGCCAGCAGAAGCTGTGGGCTCAGTGCCTATAGATGAAGCGCAGCATGTGGCACCATTGCTGTACATGCCAGCTGCTTTCAGGAGTGGTACAAGGCCAGGTCATGAGTAAGCCTGCCTTAACCCCACTGTCCCATCACACGGAAGCCATCTCAGTTAAATGGTGCCCAGCTACAGCCTGCTTCCTGAACCCTTGTTCCAGCCCTGAACCCAACCTCCTGCCCCAGACATGAGTCCCTCACATCCAAACTGCTTCCCAGAGCTTGCACCCTGAAACCACTCCTGGACCCCAATCCCCCACCCTGGGCTAAGCCCTGAACTCCTCCCACACTCCAAATCCCTTGGCCCAAGACCAGAGCCTGCACCCCAACCTTCTACCCCAGGCTGGTGACAGTGAGTGAGGCTGGGGCAGGAAGGGGAATGGAGCGAGCAGGGTGAGGGCTCAGAGAAGGGGTGGAGCAGGGGCAGGGCCTCAAAGAAGGGGCAGGAAGGGCATTTGGGTTTGAGGTAGATCTTACATTGCACATATATTGAAAAAGTGATCTTGTGGCTAAAAAGGTTGGAGACCACTGCCCTATCCCCTACTTGCCAAAAGCTGGGAATGAGCAACAGGGGATGGATCACAATCATTACTTGTTCTGTTCATTCCCTCTGGGGCACCTGGCATTGGCCACTGGCAGAAGACAATATTGGGTCAGTTAGACCCTTGATCTGACCCAGGATGGCTGTTTTTATCTATATTGTTACATACTTGCTGACAAGTATTTTGAAATAAATTATCAAAATGACTGAAACTGGCAACATTATATAGTGTTATTTTGACAATTTGCAGAATTTAAAAATATTATGCACAGAATTTTTAGTTTGTTTTGGTAATTCCTCCAGGAATAGCCAGTTTCATCATTTCTATCCAAGAAACAATACTACCACTACACTCTCATGGAATAGGAAGCCTCACTAATTGTTACCTTTGACCCACTGCTTAAATTGTTACTTTCCCTCCATACAGAATCTTGTGAAAGGGGAAAAGAAACAACCCTCAATCAACTCATCTCATCTCATCAGCAGCTTAAAGGTCTCACCTTCATTATACTTCTAACCCCTCTACCTTCTTTCTGCAACATTCCTTCCACAATGTGTCTCTAGTTGATCTTCATAATATAAGCATGTCTACTTTTCCCCCTAAACACAAAGTCATCCCTTAATTTTACTTGCCGCCCAACTACTGCTCCACCCTTCCACTCTTCATTACTAAGTTTGATGAACATGCAGGCTACAATCACAGCACAAAATTTCTCTCCTCATATCTAGCTTCTATATTCATTCTGTATAATTAAGAGTACATCTACAATGCACAGCTATTTATAGTAGCTACTCTGCGTCTACACAAGCCACCCGTTATTTTGAAATATTTTTCAAAATAACATGTGCGCTATTTCGCCATCCCGGTAAACCTCACTGCACTAGGGATGGCTCAAAATAGTGCGTTATTTTGAAATCTCATGATATGTAGACACACCAAATTTCAAAATAAGCTATTTTGAAATGGATTTGAGATAAGATACGCAATTTGCACAGCACAAATTGCGTATCTTATTTGAGTTTAGGGTGCTGTGTAGACAAATACACTCTAAAGAAAATACTTTCCCTCCTTACTCTTAAACATAAAGCTATGGATAGGATTTTTTTTAACTTCACTGAACAGGCTCTAACATCAGAGAGGGGTTTCAAAGATCATGACAAGTGTTCATATGCCCTATTGCTGGAGTCATGCTGGTCCTAGAATAGGAAAGACAACGTAGGTGAAGTAATATTTATTGGAACAACTTCTGTTGGTGACAGACAAGCTTTCAAATCTACATAGTACAGCATACCATTATCTTTCCTGAAGAGAGATATATTACTTGAAATAAGATTACCTGGAAATCTATACTCTCTAACCTTCACACACCAGAGAGAACAAGCAAGTTACTGGGTTAAGATTTTCTTTCTCCATAGTAGATGGCTATGATCATGAGCGTCTTGCTTTTATGATAAAACATAAGCACTCTAATCACCTTCACATAATCTTTAAAAAATTGCAGTGTCAGATAGTTACACGGTAAACATATGGAATAAATGTCTTTTGATGGTAACTGGAATCTCATGCAACTTTAAGATGATGATACAAGTGGTAATATTTTAAAAATTTTCGGAAATCTCACAGAACTTGATATTCCAGTTCTGTGAATTTTATGAAAGCCAAAGTCATTTCTGAAAAATGGGACTTACACTTTTGTTTCTGTGTAAAAGTTTCAAGACAGCTGACAGTCAAGAAAAGCAGAGAAAGGGAAATTAACAGCGGACTGGTTGAGTTAGAAAATATCAAATCACCTGGTTAGTGAACACCAAATTGAATATTTTCCCCAAGAAAGTAATATTTCTTCCCCAAAAGTTATCTTAGATGCAACAGACTCTCACTGATTAGCACGTTTTAATTGGAATACAAGAGTATAAACATAATTAGTACTACAAGTCTCAAATTTCAATAAGACAATTTTTTGTATTGCTTAATCACAGATTTGCCAAATTTGGTAATTTCAAAATCATGAGATTCTATTGTACTCATAAGAGATTAGTGAACCAAATAAAACTTACAGTACTAGCCTTCCAAGTACCAAAAGGACATCTTCACATTCTGTAGTCAAGTATGGTCGTGCATTAGCAAAGTTTTGGATAGAGATTCGATATACTTCCAAAAAAGGCAAAATATGTTCTGATGCACCCCGGGTTCCAGCATATTGTAATAATGTCTGAAAGAAAAAACGTTTTATTATTAAAATTGTCTCGAAATTTTACACTTAAATGCAAATATATATGCTATAGCAACATTTAGACTACACTGTAAAAAAAAAAAATCATGGAAAAGATAAATTTCCACTATAAAGTGATTGGAAAAACAGCAGTGTTTTGCTCAAGAGACGTTCTCTATATGCAGTCTCCTGATATAAAAAGTAGGGATGTAAGTGACTGGTCGAATAGTTGACTACCCAAAAAGCCTAGGCTTATTGGGTAGTGGAGTCACTACTCGATTACTTGCTCCCCCGACCGCCCTTGTTGCCTTTGTAGCTGAGGCAACAAGGTAGGGGGGTTGGGGAAATCAGGAGCTGGTGCTGGGGAAAGCCAACTAAAAAACCAGTTCCCCCAGCACCGTCTCCGTGATGTGGTGAGGAAGGAAGGAAGGGGAGGCAGAAGCGCAGCAGTCCAGGACTTAGTATGAGCCGGGTCTGGGACCTGCCCCCAGGTGGCTCTGTAATCCAGGACTCCCTGGACCAGCAACATCCATTGTCCAGCAGAACCACGGATGATAAACTAGGCAAATATAACTTAGATAGGGCCACGATAAGGTGGGTGCATAATTGGCTGGATAACCGTAGTCAGAGAGTTGTTGTTAACGGTTCTAAATCCTGCTGGAAAGGGATAACAAGTGGAGTTCCTCAAGGGTCTGTTTTGGGACCCGTACTATTCAATATCTTCATCAATGATGTAGATATTGGGATAGAGAGTACGCTTATTAAGTTTGCAGATGATACCAAACTGGGTGGGGTTGCGACTTCTTTGGAGGATAGGGACATAATTCAAAACGACCTTAGCAAGTTAGAGAAATGGTCAGAGGTAAACAGGATGAGGTTTAATAAAGAGAAAGGCAAAGTGCTCCACTTAGGAAGGAACAATCAGTTCCATACATACAAGATGGGAAGCGACTATCTAAGAAGGAGCATAGCGGAAAGGGATCTAGGGGTCATTGTGGACCACAAGTTGAATATGAGTCAACAGTGTGATGCTGTTGCAAAAAAAGCAAATATGATTCTAGGTTGTATCAACAGGTGTGTTGTAAGCAAAACTCGTGAAGTCATTCTGCCGCTCTACTCTGCACTAGTTAGGCCTCAGCTGGAGTACTGTGTCCAGTTCTGGGCACCACATTTCAAGAAAGATGTGGAGAAATTGGAAAGGGTACAGAGAAGAGCAACAAGAATGATTAAAGGTCTAGAGAACATGACCTATGAAGCCAGGCTTCATGAACTGGGCTTGTTTAGTTTGGAAAAAAGAAGATTAAGGGGGGACATGATAGCGGTTTTCAAATATCTAAAAGGGTGTCACAAGGAGGAAGGAGAAAATTTGTTCCTCTTGGTTTCTGAGGACAGGACAAGGAGTAATGGGCTTAAAGTGCAGCAGGGGAGGTTTAGATTGGACATTAGGAAAAAATTCCTAACTGTCAGGGTGGTCAAATATTGGAATAAATTGCCAAGGGAGGTGGTGGAATCTCCCTCTCTGGAGATATTTAAGAACAGGTTAGATAGACATCTGTCAGGGATGGTGTAGGTGGAGCTTGGTCCTGCCTTGAGGGCGGGGGGCTGGACTCGATGACCTCTTGAGGTCCCTTCCAGTCCTATGATTCTATGATTCTATGTTCCAGAACAAGAGAGTCCCAGTGGAGGGCTGTGGCTGGGCTGGGCTCCCCAGTGCACAACTATGTAACCAGGCACAACCCAACGGGGATGCCCGGCAGGGCCAGGAGCCTGGTGCGCAGGGAGGTAGGCTGCCCAGCGTAGCAGGGAAGGCAGTGGGCGGACCGGCAGGGCAGCGAGGCGGGTGGCTGTTCCAGGTCTGCGGGGAGCCAGATAGGACTTCCCCTGGTCTGGCAAAATCCGTCATCTGGGACCAGTCAGGTCCCAAGGGTGCCAGACCAGGGAGGACTGAACTAACCATGACAATTACAGGGTGGAGACGATCATGTCACCAATCCTCACCACCACTGCTGGAAAGGTACATTTCTCTATTTTATATATAAAGCTACTGAGAAACGTATATGTCAGTATCATGATGGCAATGCCTATATTATGTAAACAATACCTAGTAATAATTGCCAAATGAGACCACTTTCAGCCTGCTTACAAAGGGCCTGATCCAATTTAAATTTTAAGCTAGGATTGAGCCCAAAGCAATTTGTTGATGTTACCCAAGAAGATCTTTGGAGAAAACTGGAGAGACTTTGAATGTACTGCTTCTGACAGCAGCACTTTCTCTCCCTGGACATGGGGTCTTTTAGCCCAGGTTTCACTTTTGTCAGAGTAACTGAGAAATGCATTGCCACAGCTAACTCCATTCATGTCTAGACAATGTGTAGCCCAAAGACAGAACAAGTCCCTTGAATCTGGAAGTAAAAACATCTCACCTTTTTACAGAGCTCACAAAGGACTTGTTCACCCAGTGACACAAGTCATGACAACCCTCTCTGTAGAGAGACAATACATCCTGCCTTTCTGTGTACATGCTAAGTGTTTTCACATGGCATCTTAACACACTGTTTAAATCACCAACTGCTTGGATGAAGAAAACGCAAAAAGTCTGTCCATCATCTACACCAGTGACATGGTGATTTCACTACCGTGGAAACAGACCTGATCTCTCTATGGGCTCGTGGAGCAGCAGGAAGCCTTCAGCGGTCTCTCAGGAGGAGCTTCTATTTCAGTGGTTCTCAAACTTTTTGGCCTGTAGACCACCTGGCTCAATATAAACCTTTCCAAGGACCACCAGTTGTTAATGGACACTTACTATTAATTACATAATTACATCCAAACCATTTTGCTAGTGCTACAGTTAGGGAGAATTATTTAAATTATTAAACAGATTTAGCATTTTAACTTTGTTAGTTTAATCAAATTTCATTTAAAATACAGTAATATATTAATTTATGTCTATCACAAAAGGTTTCAAAGTTTTATTTATGGCAGGGGTCAGGACTTTTTTGGGTCAGCACCACTGACACACAGAAATATCAGTTGAGGACCACACAAGTGAGAAACAAAAAAAACTCCTCCCAAAATCCCCAGCCCTCACTGACGTTGCACCCAACTCAGACACCTCACTCCTCTTCTCACCCTATGCAGCACCAGAAGGGACAGAGAGGACTGAGGTTCAGGGCTTCCCATAGGCCATATTTGCTTTTCTGGTGTATTTTATGGACCCCCTTAGGGTCTGATATGGGGAAAAAATGAAGGGTTCAGTGTGTGGGACAGGGCTGCCAATGAGCAGAACAGAGTTCAGGATCTGGGAGGGAGGTGGGGGTGCAGAAGGGGGAGAGGATGTGAGGTCTGGGTAGGAGGTAGGGTGCAGAATCAGGCTGGGAGTAGGGTACCTGACCAGGGGGAGGGAGCAGGGGAAGGTGCAGTGTGTGGCCAGGATGGAGGGAGTAGGAGCAAAGGTGGATGCAGGAGCAGGGTAAGGGTAGGGTGTCTGGCAAAGGGGGAGGATGCAAGAGTAGACTTGGGATAGGGGTTTGACCTCCCTGATCAGGCACCCTCAGGACCTGACTGGTCCCAGATGAGGGATTTTTCTAGACCAGGGGAGGTAATTTCAGGCCACCTGCTGCCACCCCCACACTGGGCTTCTTGGCATGCCCCACCCCAGCTGAGCCCTGCACTGGTTCCTTGGACACCCCCCTCACAGCCCAGCTGAGCTGCCCATCTGTTCCCTGTGCCTCCCTCATCCCCCGCAGTCCAGATGAGCAATCCAGATGGCCTCATGCCCAAGTTCCTGGTGCCTCCCTCACCCCCAACAGCCCAGCTGAACCCCGTGCCACTTCCCTGCACGCACCCCCCACGCCCACCCGCAAATCACTTGCTTTTCCATGCTCCCAACAGGCACTGCCTCCTGCAGCTCCTACCGGGCAGGAAATGTCCCTGAATCCCATTCCCACAGCGAAAGAGGGGGAGGGGAAACACCAGCACACAGCTGCATTTGGAGTCTCAGGCCTTTTTGGAACATTTCAGTGCTTCATGGGAAAACCAGGACAGGAGATTAAAAATCAAGACTGTCCCAGATTTTCCAGCGTAAGTATAGCTAAAGTTCTAACAGGCCTATAGCTACCCAGACACACATTTTAAATATTGCCTCAACACTGTCTTTAGTGCTTTGGAACATCCTCCTTATTCCAAGATTAAAAATAACATTTGCTCTACTAGAGAAAATTACATCTTGTAATACAAAGAACGTACGTCACACTTAAGAAGATGGGAAACTTTACCCAGGAAATCAGCAACCCTGAAAAAGAAAGAGGGTGTGACTGGTGACCAACTAACCTTGATGCCCAGTGTGCAAAGCTACACCCAAGCTAATGTGATTCTTTGATGTATTAATTCCGATGTAAATAGTTCATCAGTTAACTGGTAAGCCTTACCGTTAATTGTAAGCTTCTGGAGGAGCTCCCTGTCCACCCCAGGCTGAGGGCTGGCTCCAGCCCTATGGAGCCTGCCAGAGTAGCCCCTGTCCATGGCAGGCCCTGCTGGGCGCTTCCCCCCCTCCTGCAGGTTACATGCTGCCTCCCTGGGAATGTGACTGGCCCTACTCCCCAGGAAGCTTCGCTGTGGATTCTGCAATTATAATTTATTTAAGCTTTATACTGCGAAGACCATAGCATATGTAACCGCTCTGATTTTTTGCTGTTACAGACTTACTTTTTAAACACATTTTTACAACCCTAATTATGACCATAAAAATGAAATTATGGGTTTCCTGAAGAGATTACTAAAAGAAATGTTACAGTCCAGACTATGCAGAAAGTCAGAAAAGATCAACATAACATTGACCTTAAGTGACTGCACCCTTATAATACACTACTAACATTACTGGAATACATAGTAAAGAGATTTAAATAGGTAATAGCTATTTTTTAAATAGCTGAAGAATTATTCTAAGTTATTCTTTCCCAAATCATTGCTGATTACAACGTGTTAAATATTCAATATGAACTCAGAATTTCTGTGTTCCATATCTCTGATCTTCTAATCCAAGAGCCTTCCAAAATCCACCCAGATATCTCCAAACTATTTTTCACTTCAAATTCAAAGCTCAAAAGCTAGCTATGATTTGATGACAAAAGTCCACAGCAAAATCAATTTATATTGCTTCAAGATGCTGTGGGTCCTCTAACAATGTGATGCCAGACTAAAAATAGTGTAGCAATTTCAAGTACATGTAAACTTGTCAGACACGTAGATGAACACACTTTGTTGGGGAAAAGTCAATATGGATTCTGTAAAGGGAAATCATGCCTTACTAGAGTTTTTTTGAGGGGGGAGTCAAGTATGCGGACAAGGGGGATCCAGTGGATATAGTATACTTAGATTTTCAGAAAGCCAAGGTCCCTCACCAAAGGCTCTAAGTAAAGTTAGTTGTCACGGGATAACAGGGAAGGTCCTCTTATGGAATGATAACTGGTTAGACAGGAAACAAAGGGTAGGAATAAATGGTCAGTTTTCAGATTGGAGAGAGGAAGTGGTGTCCCCAAAGCGTCCATCGTGGGACCAACGCTATTTAATTTATTTATAAATAATCTGGAGAAAGGGGAACACAGTGAGGTGGCACAATCTGCAAATGATACTAAACTACTCAACGTAATTAAAAGCAAAGCAGACTGTTAAGAGTGTCAAAAGAACCTCACAAAATGAGGTGATTGACCAACAAAATGGGAAATGATTTATAATATTGATAAATGCACAGTAATGAACATTGGAAAAAATAATCCCAAGTGAACATACAAAATGACGGGAACTCATTTAGCTAGAACCACTCAAGAAAGATCTTGGAGTTATTGTGGCTAGTTCTCTGAAAATATCCACTTAATGCGCAGCAGCAGTCAAAAAAAGCAAACAATGTTAGGAATGATTTAAAAAGGGACAGAGAAGAAGACAGAGAATATCTTATCACCTCTATATAAATCCATGGCACTCCCACATCTTGAGTACTGCATACTCATGTGGCTGCTTCATCTCAAAAAAAGATATAATGGCATCAGAAAAGGTTTAGAAAAGGGCAACAAAAATCATTAGAGGTTTGGAACAGGTCCTCATATGAAGAGAGATTAAAAGAAAGGGATATGATAGAAGTCTATTAAGTCATGACGTGTGTGGAGAAAGTGAATAAGAAAAAGTTATTTATTACGGATGTAAGATTTCAATTAGTCGATAAGGGTGCCTCCACCTTTGAAATGTAGCAACTGCCCCAGGGCTATTGCTACACTTCAAAGGTGAAAGCACCCTGTGCTCCCAGCAACTTTTCAAAGCGGCAGCGCTGCCTGCTCCATCATGTGGCACTGCTGCTTTCAAGCACCCCTGCTCTGCCCCTACTTGCTACCTCTTTCTGATAGAGGCAGCAAAGGTGGGGGAAGTGACTGGTTGACTAGCATGTCGACTATCCAATAATAGGGTTGCCAGATGGTTTAACAAAAAATACTCAACCCCTCCCCCGCCAAAAAAATGAAAAAATTGTCTCGAGAAAAAAAAGGGGGGGGGGGGAAGGAAGAGACCAAAGTTGTTGAGGAAAAAAAAAAAGAACCCCAAGAGTGAGTGAGTGAGTGAGTGTGAGAGTGAGTTGTTTGTTTGTTTGATTGTAAGAAAGAAAGAAAGAAAGAAAGAAAAACAACATAGCCCCTTTAAGAAACGCTTTGCTTTTGAGGCTTTTTGGCCCTAACCGGCTGCTGGCCCACCATCTTACCTACCTGCGCCGGGCCAGACAGCTCCCCTGTGGAACCCGGTAAGCACCTGGGATTTTTGCCTCCTGGCCGGGGGGGGGGG